TTTTTTTTTTTTTATTGTATTTTTATTATTTTTTTTTTTTTTAATGCTACTTAGTAGCTTGCATCAGGGCAAAAACACAGCTCTCTTAAATAAATTCTGACCAAGGGAAAAATTTAGGATACGTAAGCCCCTTGTTGATAATAGGTTTGATAATTATTGCAGGTTTTCCCTTTAGGTAGTACAGGAAGAATTTCGAGTGCTCACACAGGCAAAGGGTAAACAGCGCCTATAGAAATAAGGAACGGGTTGCGTATTTTGGCCTATCAAGGTATATACAAGCCTCAATCCTATAGATACGGGGGGGGGGGGGGTTTTTGGGGGGGGGGGTGTGTGTGTGTTTGCGGGCGCTACCAGGTATGCTCACCCTCCAAGCTCCTCTTCTTATCTGGCAGGGGCCGCAGGAATGGCCCCTCCGAGGGAATTGATAAATGGCTGGTAGGAATGGAGATCTCCACAGATTAGACAGACACTACACAAACAAGCTAAGGAAGCTGGAAGCACCCTCGCACTTCCCCTGGGGTCATTCGGGAGAGGCAAAAACCAGGCTTTTTTTTAATAACAAAAAAAAATAAAAAAATAAAAAAATAAAAAGAGAGGGAGAAAAAAAAAAAGACAAAGTCAAAGCTGTTCAAATAAATCCATATTCTGCACCCATCCCTGTGTGCAGCGTCGCAGGGGACAAGCAGTGACATTTGCTGCCAGCCTTGGTTTAGGGGGTTTGGGGGGTGGTTTTGCTTTGCTGGATCATTTAATATTATTTTTTCCCCACCCCCCCACCGCCTGTTCTTGCAGTCAAGCCAGCTATGTATTTATTGAACTAAAATCCCAGCTATTAAAAAAAAAAAAAAAAAAAGAAGGGAAAAAGAAAAAAAAAAGTAGGGGAAGTTTCTATGACAATAAAAAAGGCTACAACTGTTTGACAGGTAGTTACTGCTGTGTGAGCCTCTCCATTCTATACTCTATAAAAGCAAATGACCGTCGTAAACATCTCGATTTATCATCTGCCATAAAACGAGACTTCAAGGGGCTGAGAACTCAGTCCTTGCTTTCTTCTTTTTCCTCCTCTTCTTTTTCCTCTTCTTCATTCCCTTCTTCTTCCGTTTTCTCCTCGTCCCTGGCCCCCGGCAGCTTATCTTTATTGTTTTCTTTTTTCCACTTCATCCTCCTGTTTTGGAACCAGATCTTCACTTGTCTCTCGGTCAGTCCCAGGGCGTGAGAGACCTCAATCCGCCGCTTCCGTGTCAAATACGGGTTGAAGAGGAACTCCTTTTCTAACTCCAGGGTCTGGTACCGGCTGTAAGTTTGTCTGCCACTGCGTCTTCCGGGAGCTGTAGGACACAAACATCAAATAACTTCTTAATTCTACCCCCAATAGTATTTGTCATCATGATGATCCAGACAAAATCCAGATTACTTTCCAGAACTCCTTTTCCCTGGCTGGGGGAGGACTGGGCAGGGAAAAGTCTCACACCTGGATCCCACCACCATGAGCTGATGTATTGGCTAGCTGGCAAGGTATATATATATATATATATTTATATACATTAAAAAAAAAGGATATGTTTCCCTATGAAAGGTGCATTGTTCACCATAAAATCATCTCCAGCCTTTCTCCTTCTCCCCATTCCTTTTTCATTCTTCCTTTCTCTCTCCTTCTTTCCTTCTTTCTTTCTTCCTTCTCTTTCTTCCTTTTCTTTCTTCTCTTTCTTTCTCACTCTCTTTCTCCCTTTCTCTCTTTCTCTCTTTCTTTCTCTCTCTCTTTCTCTCTTTCTCCCTCTCTCTCTTTCTCCCTTTCTCCTTCTCTTTCTCTCTTTCTCTCTATCCCTCTTCCTCTCTCTCTTCCTCTTCCTCAAAATATCCGACCCCTCTTTCCTTTTCCAAACGTTGCTCCCCAAAAATACAGCCTCAGGGTCCTCCTCTGTGCTAATATTTACGCCCTGAGAATTTGAATTTTCTATTGAAGCCCCTCGCCCCGTCCTTTCGGTGAGGGCTGTGTGTCTGTGAGGCAGACACAGACAGAGATGGATATTTGCCTGTGCAAACACAAGAGATGGGATTTAAAACAACTCGAGATGGACATTTGCAGCAATAGCCAAAAAAAGACAGAAAGTTAGAGAGACAGAAAGACAGAAAAGGAAGGAAGAAAGAAAGAGGTCTGAGGTATGTGCAGCTGAGCCCCTGCACTTCCTTCTGCACCGTCCTTCCTTAATGAGAAAAACAACATATTTGCAAGAAAAATAAATGCTCCAGTTCGAACTGATTGCATCCTTGAGACTACCTCTAGGTCAAAGCTTAGATAAATAACGTGTTTTCCTCTGCATCTCTCTCCCAGCCTCTGGGCCACATCCTCCCTGCATTGACCACAAGTCCTTTCTATTTTCCTCTTTTTTTGTTGTTGTTGTTGTTAAATTATGGTTAGGGGTAGGGGGGGGAAAACTTTGGGGCTCTGATTGTCCTTAAAATTAACACTAACCTTCACATGTTTTGAATTAACAAGGCTTCTCTAGACAACCTTGGTCCTTAGGTGGGGGGAAACTTGTACTTTGAAGTATTTCGGTTTCTGTGCAATTATCTGGACTTCACATGAGCAAAGTTCCATTCAGCCCAAATTATTTTGAATTTCCCACCCCCCTTTTTTTTTTCCTTTTCTTTTCTTTTCTTTTTTTAAATTTTTTTTTTTAACCCAGGACAGCAGACTGTTCTCCTCCACCCCACCCCATAGCTCTGAGCTAAGTTTCCCTTTCCGTTTAAACTTTTATCTCTAGGCTTTAAGAAACAGATGTAAAGTATTAGTAATACTTATACAAGTTCCCACCTTTCAGGCTTCGTCTCCAAGCGGTTATGAAAGGCTATATGACATTTTAAAGAGCAGTGTATTATCAACATGCAAATAACCTCGTGGGAGCTGTATCTTATTGCCTATCCTCAAGGCAAGCAATAAAAAACAAGTTTTACTTTATTGTGATTTAAGCCTTTTGCAGGGAATCACCTTGCTGGCTCTCTAGTAACTGCTGTCTTGTTTGCTTTCAAAGGTCTTCCTAAAAAGAAGAAACATTAGCACAAAACTGCTCATTCCTTGCATATTTTACATCTACGCCTCTTATATTTATATTTATATATATACATCTATGTATGCATACGTGTGTATGTGCATGTTTATACAGCTATACATATGTTTGTGCTTGTATATGCATACATATATATATATATATATAGCCAGACAGACAGACAGAGAGAGAGGAGAGAGAGAGAGAGAGAGAAAGAGAGAAAAAAATAAAGGAAAACATTTAAGGAGGAGGAAAAAAAGGTCCTAACCGTGAGGTCTCATCCATGGGAACATGAGACTGGGAGACGAATTTTGATTTAAATGCCCTTGTCCCTCGCTAGAGTTACTGTTGGAAGACGATTTACAGTCAGGATATTGTACAACAGTCGTCTCTTGCTGAGCACCATAAAGCGATTGCCTCGGTAGAGCTTCATATCCATAGAATTTAGAAGCGTCTCCGTGACACGCCAAGGCGCATGGGTTTTGCTGGTATCCCGAGTTGGAGATGCTGGAGGTTCCGTGGTGGAAAAACTCTTGGACGTGGTGTGAAGGGTGCTGGAAGGTGGGAGCAGTAGTGCCCGGACCATACACGAGAGCATGGCTCCTGCTAACACTTTGTGGAAATCTGCAGTCGTAGTAAGTTGGCTCCAGCGATTCACCGCCTTTGTACTTGGAAAAGAGAGGATTTACAAAGTAGGAACTCATGACCCTCGCATGCAAAAAAAAAAAAAAAAAAAAAAAAAAAAAAAAAAAAAAAAAAAAAAA